TGTCAGCGCTGGGAACTCGATGGAATTGCTGGAAGGAGTTGTGTTGTTGACAAAAGCAGCGCTCACATGTCACTTCTGGGCCAGGAAGGCACCTAATCACACAGCCCTTGCCCACAGCACACCGTGGTAGTGGCAGTGGAATAACTGTCAGATCACTAACACCCGTGAGCATCGCCTGGGCAGGGTGAGCTGAGGAGTGAGCCTTGCATCGTGTCCTGGGGGTCATTAACCAGCTCAAGGCGGGAGGGGGGGCCGGTCATGGTTGTGCACAGGGGAGCTGTGCAAAGGGAGAGCAAACCAAGGGTGCACTGGGACAGGGAGGATGAGGGGGGGACCGTTTTGGGTGGGCGTGGCGGAGGGGGATGCGCGGTGCGTGACGGCTGGATCTCCTGGGTAACGGGGCTCACTGGGAGCTGGGCTGTGGCGAGGCGGTGGAAATGTGAGCTGTCAACATGGGAGCTCAGCGAGGGCCCGAGGCTGCTGTCAGAGCAAGAACAAGCTCCAGAGGAGGCTCTGTGTCTGCAGCAGCAGCAGCAGGGTGTTGGCGTACAGGAGGATGCTGAAGGGGCGTTTGCCCTGGGGATGGAGACATGAGTCATGTAACTCCCTCCTGAACCTGCTGCTATCGGAGTGCCCCTTGCTGAGCAGCCCAGACGGGGCTCTTTTAATGTCTTCATTGAAATGGGAAAGGTGTTTCCTTTGGTAAGGAAAATATTCAACTTAAAAAAAAAAAAAAAATATATATATATATATATCGCTCTTAAAAATTACAATCTTGCAATTTTAATAGTTGAGGTTCCAGTTTATTTATAATTTCTGTCTTTCTAGGGTCTGTTACATGGCACTTGCAACTAAAATTATTAATAAAAGACAGTCTTTTCAGGTGATCTTATTCAATTTTAAAAACTGTTTTCATATTTAGTCAAGGAGCTTCCTAAACACTTAGTTTAAAAAGTCTGACGGTCTGTGGGAAAATATTGATTTTGATGGCTCTGTGTTTTCAGAAGTTTCAAGCTGTAATAAGAATTTAACTTTTCAAGAGATTGATTTTCATATTCTAAAGAAAAATTATGAGAAACTTAATTTTTTTCACTCAGTGCACAGCAGGACAATCAGATATGCATGTCATAAAAGTTATGACTTATTGCTTCCAGTAAGTGGAATAAGTCTTTTTGTATGTGTCATTCTCTCTTTTATAAAAGTGAGAAATGCTGCTATTTTGGAACCTAGCATATACCCAGCTAATGTGTACATATATGAATTTATACATATACACATTACACTTACATCTATAAACATGTTTCTGCTATCTACTGAATGGTCCCCAATTCCTTTTCTCTCTCTCTCTTTTTTTTTTTTTTTTTCTTTTTAGTTTTAACAGAGAGAATGAACCCAAATCAGCCCCATTGTCTTGGTTATACAGTTTAAGTCATACGACTAAAGACTAGGAATAATATCATGTGAATCAGTGAAAAAAAACCTGAAAGAGCTGTAAGAGATTGAGACATAAACTCAATTCTGTTCATTCTTATGCATCAAAAATATGTCATTTTCCATTTTGCAAATACTTATGCACACAAGAATCCCCTTCAGGGTAGTTAGATGGTTCACGTGCATAACATTAAACAAAGATATGGCAGCACTGAGGTCTTTTTTGTTGAATTCCCCTTACAAGGCCTTTTAGTCACATCTGTGCGTCACTACGGGTAGCCCTTGCAAGGTGTAACCCTGTCACAGCTCAGCCTGAAGAAGCATTTACTCCAATGAGATAATAATTTATTTTCAGGAGTAGGATACTGGAGCACATTCATGAGGACTGCAGTCAGAAAGTGCTCTGTGGAAACTGATATATTGATGGGGATTATCTAGGAAGGATAAACATAACAATATAACAGAATGCCATGTTTGTAATTTAACCTATATTTCCAAGCTGTTTTCCAGAGTTAATTAGTTTGGGATGCTCCTCTTGAACGGGCATATGTTTTTCAGTATAAAGTACAGCTGGCTTTTTCTCATTTAGTGACAGATGATAAAGCAATCTTATTGTTTTGTTATTATTTGCAGTGACAGTACTGGGAAACTAAGCAAAATGGAGAAAACAGCTTTTTGCTTGCTTGTTTGTTTGTTTAGCAGGTCGTCGTGCTAGCAGAGCTGAAATGTTTTGTGTTTTAGTTGTTTTCAGAGGTCCCTGTCCTGTAAACACCTTGTCTCCAGCAGCGGCAGGTTTCTGTGTGCCCAGGCTGAGAGAAGGGGGGTTCTGCATGGGTTCACTGCCCTGCCCCTGCGCTAACGTTTGCTGGCTCAGGGCCGAATGCACACGCTTAACTTCACGTGCATTAGTCATGCCACTGAACTCAAATGGGGGAGGTGACCTTATGAAGTAGCTACATCAGGAATGTACAATACGTTATTCTCAGTTCTGCAAACACAGGCAGCAAACATGTCTTGCATTGCAACCTGACGCAACCTGAAAGACAGAGCTAACGGGCAAGAAATGTTCATCTAATATAGAGACAAGTTAGTATGGTGAAGGATTAGCAGCTCATAAGCGTGTAATGCAGTTTTTGGATGTGATTCATTTTGTAAAAAAAAAACAAAAAAAAACAAAAACGCCAGCAATAAGTATGTTTTTAAAATGAAGAACAAAGCACTTCTGAGAAATCTTTTTACAAAAATATGCTTTTGTACTTTATATGCTTACATACTTTTAAAATGCAAAACAAGTTTACTTAACTTTACAGAACAGCGGAAGCTGGAGGATAATAGTGGATGTCTTTGCCTGTATTACACTTACATATCTTTGAAAGTTGAAGCAAGATATTTTACCTAGCTTCACTGAACATCTTGAGGTTATGAGTGGTACTGTCCTGAAGTTATAAATGATAAATGTCTTTCCACCTCTCTTGTCTTCAGATTGTCTGGACTTTGTCACCACTTCAGAATGGCAACTTGTGCTAAGCACAGTCATAAGCCAATTCAACACTGCCTGTATCAGAAGTGTATTTTTTACCAAGTTATACAAAACTTACAATTATAATATTAAGGCAATATTCATGTGTAATGTTGCATGTCCTGATAATTTTATTAATTATTTAATAAATGCTGTAAATTATGTACTCTCTCACACCACTTATATAAATTGAAATTCTAAAGAGCGTATTTCTCAACCTTGTATTTTCCTGCATATTTACATCTCTGTAGTGTTTCTAACGCTGAACACTGGGCCACAATTCTGTGAATGGATCTAATCTAACTAACTTGAGCTGTTATAAGGAAATTACCTCAGAAAGGAGAAAATTAAAAGTGTGGGAGGAAAAAGGACATTGTTGCATGTACAAAGCAGGGAAAAACAATCTTTCCTACATAAATATGTGATTCCATGCTTTCCTGTGCTAAGAATGCTGTGATGGACAAAAAGCATCAAGTGCTTTCCTGTATGAAGTTGCTACTCACATACGAATCTGTCCCCAGTACACCAGAAGTATAGATATTAATTATTCTTAGTTCTTCTATGTCAGCTTTTCAGTTTTCTTCTCAAACTTCTTTCCAGAGGAGGATATCATTCTTGTTTTCCAGATGAGGAAGTTGAAGCATGTGATTTTTCTAAATCACAGAGAAACCAAAACTTTGTCTCAGAATAGAGCATACCGGCAGACTTCATGTCTCTCTAGATAAAAATTAGCATCATACCTGAGTATTTTGCATTGAAACACCAAAGCTATTTTGCAGGCCCATTCCAGTAGCCTGCTTTCTTCTTTTATTTACCTGGTGTGATTTGGAGTATGTCTTGATGCAATTCTGCTTTATGTCTGTGGGACGGACACAGTCGGGTTTGGAAAGGAGTTTTGTTGCCATCAGATGGACATGCTACTATTGGGTGCCCACATGCCTGAACCAAAGTCTCCATTCCTTTTCCCCAGTTCTTCAGGGGCTGCCTGAAAGACTACTGGTGTTTTAGGTCTAGTGCTAAAGGCAGACAAGACCTGTGTGGATCTCTGGATACTTATCCCAGTGAGAGTGGAACTAAATATTGTGCCACTGGCTTGATCTTCCCTGTTCTGGGTGCCTGAAGGTGCGAATCAGCCACCGTCTTGTGTGTGATGCTCTCTGGTGATGGAGCAATGAGACTATTTCAGACCAGAATCAGGCTGCAAACTATCACCTGGATCATGGAAATGATCTGGGAAGTCCGAGCTCAAATATGAACTCAAGACACAATGGGACAGTTTCGGTGTGGCCCAGAATATCTAAATTGCTTGTATCCGTGCACTTGAAAAAGAGTTTATTCTGTTCTCTTCGGTTAGGTACAGGTAGTTTGGGGCTTCAACTGATAAAATGGTACCAAGCCCTGTACAAAAAATACCTGGGCTAAACAGATGCTGATCAGTCCTGCAAAATTATCGTATAAATTACTTATGGTCTAAGATGATTTTATACCCAGCAAATGTATTTCTAAAAGAGATTTCTCACATGAACCTCCACCAATAGCAATACTTATTACATAATGCTTTAAAACAGTATATATACTTTGAGGTAATAAGCCTCACAATCAGTCACTGTGACAAAGAGTAAATTATCTTTTTATTCCCTTTTCACAGACATAGAGGTATACACAGAGGGAAAGAGTTTACTAGAGATCAAGTACAAGATATTATCAGAACTGGGGTTAAGAATAGGGGTTTTCCAGTGGTGGTTTTATACTTAGGGTGCTTAATATCACTACTACATTTGTCCTTTTACTGTAATATAAATTAATTTGTTATGACAAGGGTGTTAACAAAATATCTGAAACATTATTGTGTAATTATTTCTGTGTCATGTTACCTGTAAAATGAGCAATTTATCTTCTCTTGGTAGACGAGTGCACATCTGCATGTTTGTACTGTACATAGAGTCAAAGAGAGGAAGTTTTGCCCTTTAAAACTTTTATTTAAAGTAGAAAAATGAGCATGCTTTACAGCAAACCTTTTTCTAATGCACTTAATAATTTTATGTTTCAGAGCACTGTATGGCTAGTGACCTATCTTTCCGAGGAGAATGGCCAAGATGTCTGTTTGGAATTATTCCTGGAATTAGACCAGCATGAGGTCTCCTCTACCAATCTGAGGTAATATCGCTGAAAGTCAAGAAACCCAAAGTGATGTATGTCCAGTTTACTGTGCATTGACAATGTCAACCCTGGTAAAAGTCCCACATGCCTGGAGCAAAAAAAAAAAAAAAAACAAAAACCCAAAGCCAGCAGAACGGGTAAACCTGGGGACATCATCACTCTGAGGCACGGTAAACATAAAGTTTTTTCCAAGGGATATTTAGTTAGTAGAGCCAAGAGCTTCTCTAGGTGATGGGCATGTTGTATGAATAGTGATAACCCAGCTTTCTGCCATGATGAAGCACCTTTCTGAAGATTAACTAACTAGTTATCTACTTAACAATACATAGCATAATGGCAAGTACAGGAGCGTTGTCAGTTTTAGTTAATTTGTAGAGTCTTTAGAACTTCAGAGATTCTACTAAAGAAAAATCAGACAATTTAAAATGAGAATGTGGACAGTTAATGTTATATGGTTTGATACTACTCAGGCCCAAGCTTCCTGCATTTAAAAACCACTAAAATTCTACTTTCCTTTAAATTGGTATATGCCAGAAGAGGTTTTGGTTGCAATCATTCCGTATCAGGGTAAGCCTGAAATAAAATGAGAGCGGATTCAGTCCTACTGGGACATATGGAAGGCAAGTATGATTTGCCAAGAAATGTGCATAAAAACTAATTTGCTTGCTGTGGAATGATCTTTTGAAATGTTTTCTTTTAACGGTTGTACCTAAAAAGCAGCAGAAAATATGCCCAGGTCTGAGGCATGCCTGTCTCATTCTGCCTCCTTGAGGTTACACAAATTACGTGTGCCCTCTTCACTTTGGGTAACAGTCTGGTCTCAGAAAGGTATTTATTATTATGTAATAACTTTCACTAATTGTTTCTCCCTATAGAGTGTTTAAAAAATTGGTTGTGTTGAGAATAGTAAAGAATAATGAATGGTTGTTAAGATGTCTGTAGTACAAAATGAAATACTCACTGTTTCTGCTAATAATTTCAGTAAGATAAAGTCAGTATGACTTTAATGATATTATAGGTACACTATGCTTCTGCTACCTTTTTGGGGAGTAGGAATAACCTTCAAATATTTCTTCCATTTATGCAACCTGAAAAACCTGCATCAGGGCACTCAAATTATTACCAGATGACACATTAAAATATCCCTAAACACATTGCAAACGATGCACAAATCCTTCACGTTCAGAAATCCCATTTACTTCAAAGGTTTAACCTGATTTCAGTGGGAGATCTGCAAACAGGGGTTGAAAATCTAGGTTCTTTAATAATAAAGAAATCCTGACTCCAAAAACACAGATGATAAAAATCAAACACATTTCAAGAGAAAGCTTGAACAAAGATGTTTTTCAGAGGTTTGTCAATTATTTCGTTCAGTTATCAAAAATTATGTATATAAAAGTTAATAGACAGTTAATAAGTGTCATGTACTAGAACACACTTGCAAAATTTATAGGGGACAACATCTCTTAAAGACAAATGCTGCCTCATTGCCTAGTAACTGTCTCAATTGCATAGTTGCTGCCAAGTCAAAATATGGAACAATGCATATATACAATTCTCATTAAGAAGAATTCTAAACATAATTATGTATATATTGACATACAAATATATGCACACCCCCCTCTAATTTCTGGTTCTCTCTAATTCTAGAAGTAAATAAAATGCTTATGCCGTTTTGAGCTATTTTCTTAAGGTGTACATTATTCTGTAACACAAATACCCTGTCCATTTCTTTCTTAATTTAAACAAGATTTTATTAATTTAAAATGCAACAAAATTCTTAGTTTCTTCATCAGTATTTATTGTAGTACTGCTCTGTGAAAGAATTAATGAGATCTCAGACTGATTTTGGTGTTACTCACCTTGGTCTTTTCTTAGATGTATGTAACTCAGGTGATGGTCTTTTCTGGTACAAGCTAAAAACAATGGAAAGAGTAGCATATCTAGAATAAAGTAAAAGACAGTCTCCTAAAAAAAATGTAGCTTCTTGGAAAATAGTGAATACCTTAGCTTAAGAACAGGGTACACACACTAATGCAAATTACCTTGCAGTGCTACGCAACTCTTTGTCAGAAAAACTTTGATGAAGTTTCATCTAAATGCTGTTGTGGTCCCATCTTAACTGTTGAGGATACAGTAAGAATTGCCAGGCTATTCAACAGCATCTAGGTTGCCTTACCCTTGAGAAAGAGTTTGGGTAGGACAAACTTTGTGTTCAGCTGGGCTGACTTGGATCAGTAAGGTGGCTGGAGTTGATGTGGCATCTGTTCATCTTCTGAAGAATAGAGATTTTTTTATATAATATCAACAGGTATTCTTTTGCTCTTTAAAAATAATATAAAATACCTACAGGAGCAGCTGATGCTGTTCCTAACTTTTTTTTCTCTCTGGCATAAAATCTTGAATATTTATTGCAAGTTGAGCAGGAGTGAGGAGTGAGTGCCCGCACCCAGACCTTCCCATTCCTGGTGGTAGGGGCTAGTTCTGACTTTCTCTGCAGAGAGAAGACATAGGGTCAGCCAATATAAGGACAGGAACAAGGATTTAGGTGGAATTTAGGCTGGCTGGGTCCAGACCAGCTTAATATAAGTAACTCATTTGTTCTGACATCTCTTCTGGCTTTGCCAAATAGGTCAGTCTGGTGGTGAATTTATGATAGGGACATGTATGGAGAGCTGAGCATGTCCTGAATAAGGCTGCATTTTTTGAAAAGTAAGGGTCCTGAGAAAAGCTCTGTCAACAACATCTACAATCCTGCCACAACTACCACTACAACCTACCACTTGTTGCTTTTGTGCTGCTTTATGAAACAAAATGGCCTTGTGATGAAATGACCTCTGTTGTGCTGAAAGGGGTAGGTTTTAGTAAAAAGGATGAATGCAAATGGTAAAATACATATCAGCAGCAACCCCAAATCACTTCTCTACCTACTGTTTCACATCATAAATACTGTTCAGTTTTAATTAACTGCTCGGTGCAATCAGTTGTAAATGGTGTTACAGCTCTTCCAGGGTCTACATGTTACTTGAACAGGTGCCTCCTTTTGTCACCTTTTTACAGAAAAAAAGACTTTTCATGCATTGGAGTATATATGGAAAAGATAAAAAGGCAAGCCCTTCTCCTTGCATGAAAAGCTTGGAAAGGTGTAAGTTTGTGCATTCTGTTGTAAGTCAATATACCCAAAGTTTCACTAGAAGAGAACTGTACAGTCGAGCTTTTGAAAGTTTGGAAGGGTAAGAATTAAAGCTTCCTTTGAAGCCATTCTGATATTGTCACATACTGTTTTTCTCACTTATTCAATCAGCAGAGTTTGAAGGTAAGATCTTCAAAGCTGCAGTGCAGGTTTCTTTCATTTGAGCCGACAGAGTAACCAATAGCTGAGGTCAGACACCTTCCTGTATGTGGGCAGCTCTCAGAGGGAGAGATGACACGTATTTTGCCACCAAGTTATGCAGCAGAGAGAGCAGTGAAATACAGGGTAGGGGGGCTGCTGGGCTCTGTTCTTGGAGCTGGGGTGGGCTTGGTAGCCCTGGAGCCCTACAGGAATTCTAACCCTGTGGGAATTTTATTTGCAATAAGTTTGCAAATGCAATGGCGTTTGTTGGCTACCTGTGGAGGGAGTATCATACTGAGAAATAAGGTCTATAAACTGAGACAAATTCTTCTGAGCACAGTAGAAAAGAAATGAGAACAGGCCTTTTGTTTCCTGAATCTCACCTAAGTGTGTCTTCCTTTCATAAATCAACTTTTTAAAGGTTATGAGTGGTGTTTTTTCTTTTTCTTTTTTCCTTAGACACTATATATAAGTCCCTTTGCCACAAAGGGAGTGCTATAAATATATATATGTATGTATGGAAATAAAACTAGGAGACAACAGAACACGGTGCATTTAAAGCATGGGGCAGCAAGAATACCCTTGGAGAGCTCTGTCTGAAGAGTGCAATACTGGTTCTTATTTTCAGAGATGCTATTTTCAGTTTTAGCTCATTCTCTATGTGAAAATATTTAAAAATATGTAAAAATGAAAATATGTAAAAATATTTTTATCACATAGTTAAAAAATTTGTGTTGTTTATATAGCCTGTTCAAAACATGGTAAAAAGCTAAAACAGTAGGAAAGTCACTGATGGATGTCTACTAATTCCAGATCCATTTAGATGCCTGAGTATCGCAGCACCATGTTTTTTGTTGATAGTTCAGCCACCGTCAATTTGAACTTCTGAAAAATGAGAGTGGAAGCATTAAAGGCCCAGTTTGAATTCAGACTAATACTAGGCTACCACTTATGCATTACTATAGGGAAACAGCAGCATTTTGTGAATAAAAATACCTACTTCTGCCTTTAGAAAAATGTCAGCATCTACTTGTACAAAAATAATATAATTTGTTTTTATATAATGTTTTTTCCAATACATTGTGCAGTACAAATTTATTTTTTTGCAAATTTCAGAAGTAGACAAAATGCGTTTATTTTGTTATAACAATAGTGTGAAAATGTAAGCAGCTGGATGAATATTTGTACGTATATAAACAAAGATCAAATTTTGACAGCTAAAACTTAAACATTGCTTCTACTTACTATCACCAACAACATAAGATAAGATGAAGAAAACTGCAAGGCTAAGTCTTCCAAAACTAACAGCAACAATCCCAGAGCAGGTCAGTCCAAGCAGGGAATCTGCATGATGAATAAACCAAACCCAACCCAAACAAATTCAACTCCCTGTTTGCAAGCTACTGAAAGCTTCAGAGATGACTTTCAGTGCCTACAGCTGTTACTTCCCTTCTGCGTTAGAGGCTGGTAAATACCTCGCATCATTGTCAATAAATGTTTGTTCATATTTTTGAGTGATTCATAGTAATTGACTCTGTTCTTCTGTGTATGAGTATTTTTAAAAAAGTAGTTTACTGGAGGAAACAGTCACTGTAACAGACAATTTTAAACAAATATTACCAAACAATCATGACCTGAAAACTTTTCATTCATAGTCACGAGT